AAAAAAAAAAAAAAAAAAGATAAGCCAGCTGTAGCCGGGCAGTGATGGCACATGACTTTAATCCCAGCACTTGGGAGGTAGAGGCAGGTATATCTGAGTCCGGAGTTCAAGACCAGACAGGTCCATAGAGTGAGGTCCACAACAGCCAGGGCTGCACAGAGAAACCCTGTCTTGGAAACCAAAGCCAGTTGTGCTGGTTCACTCTAAATTTTCCTACCATTTTATCTATTGGGTGCTCTCTTTATTTTACCTTTTTTAATGTAATTTTTAAAATTTTGTGTGCATGTGTGTTTGCCACATCCTTGTAGGTACCCAAAGAGGTCCAAGAGGGTGTCTGGTTCCCTGAAGATGGAGTTAGAGACAGTTAGTTGTAAGCTGCCCAATGTGGGTACTGAAAACCAAACTCCTTTAGAAGAGCTGCAAGCTATTTTAACCACTGAGCCATTTCTTGAACCCCTCAAGTATTTGGGTTGTTTGTTTGTTTGTTTTAAGGAAAGTTTTATTTGGATTGGGGGATGAAGTATGTGTCTGCCACAGCATTCCTATGGAAGTTCTCCATCCCCCATGTGGATTCCAGAGATCAAACTTGGGTTGAGGACTGGACTCAGGTCATCAGGTTTGGCAGCAAGTACCTTCAACACTGGGCCATCTCACCTGCCCCTCATCGTGTGTGTGTGTGTGTGTGTGTGTGTGTGTGTGTGTGTGTGTGTGTGTGTATGTGTCTGTGTACGTGCATATATTTGAGCGTAGGCTCACACATGCACACATGTAAAGGTCAGAGGACAGGCATGTGCATTGATCCTTGTCTTCCGTCTCCTTTTAGACAGTCTCAGGTTTGCCTCTGTATGTAGCAGGCTAGCTGGCCCCTAAGCTTCCTGGGACTCTTCTGTCTCCTTTCCTTGCTGGAGGAGTGCTGGGATTTCAGACTTATACCTCATGTCTGGCTTCATGTGGGCTCTGAGAATTCAAACCCAAGTTCTCAGCCTTGTGTGACAAGTGCTTTAGATGCTGAGCCATATTTCCAGCCCCAGGGCCCACCTCTTAAGGCGTTAACACCTCCCAACAGCTGGCAACTAAGCCATTAATACATGGGCCCTAGGGGCATAGCCAAGCCATAGCAACAAACAAGTGTTTGGGTCCACATTTCCAAACCTGGGTATATATCCAGCAGTGGAATTGTAAAAACAGATACTATTAGCATTGGCATTTAGAGGTATTCCAACTGTTTTCACAAGTGGCTGAATTGTGTGTATAAGTCTGTATGTGTGTGTGTGTGTGTGTGTGTGTGTGTGTATGTATTTCTACCAATAGTTCATAGTCTCATTCTCCTGGATACTTTCTATGTATCCTAATACCATCTCTACTGGTCTTTTCCCATAGAACTGGCTGACACTCATTAAAAAAACTATTGGTGCTCAAACCTGATGAGTTGAGTTTGATCCCTGGAACCGCCAGAGAAAACTGACTCCCAAAAGATGTCCTTTGATCTCCATACTTCACACTATGACACTCACATTCATATTCTTTATATCTGTCTCTCCCTGTCTCTGTCTCTCTGAATTTAAAATAGAGCAAAGAGGGTCATATGGGAGGGCTTGGAGGGAGGAAATGGAAAATTATGTAATTAGAATCTCAAAAAAATAAAAGAAGTAATTTAAAACACACACAAAAATTAAAGTAGCCAGGGGTTCTACTACCATGGTCTGCAGTCTCTACACCCGTTTCTGTGTATTGCCTTCTCATCTTTCATTCTGTCCTCGAGTCACCATCCTCCCGAAAGATGTTATTAAGTACAGCAGCTATGAGACAGCTCCAGCAGGAAAGGTGTGTGCTGTGCAAGCCTGACACGCAAGTTTGGTCCCTGGAACTCATATGGTGAAAGAGAAGAACTGATTCCATAGACCTGTCCTCTGACATTCATATGTAAACTGTGACACGCACACATCTGTACATCATACACAATAATAAAGAGAGAGAAGGTGGGAGGGAGGGAGGGAGGGAGGAAAGGAGGGAGGAAAGGAGGGAGGGGAGAAGGAAGGAGGGAAGAAAAAAGGAAAGGAAGAAG